GTATCTAGCAGCAGCCGACAGTTTTTTCTCTCGTGACGTCATCATACATACTTCATACATACATACTTAAGAACCTTTATTTAGACGTCTACTAAGCAACAGGCGACGGTGGTCGCTATCATACATACATACTTAAGAACCTTTATTTAGACGTCTGCTAAGCAACAGGCGACGGTGGTCTTAGGAGGTTGGAGCGTTGGATAGTAATCGTGAGGGGCCAGGTTCGAGTCTAGCAGCAGCCCGACAGTTTTTTATCTGGACATATGCGTGACGTCACGTCCTCCATCTTCGCTCATAGACGCAAAAAATTTAATTATTAAAGAGTGCATTTTGCAAAAAATATTTTGCAATTGGGTTAGAATCCCCATTGCTTTACTACTCGAACTTTATCTTAAAATATCTCCGCTTAGAGACAACGTACACGAAAAACATAAGAACACTTTTCTCCCTATTTTTTAAGGCCGAATCGATTGGGGCTAAAAAACTTGATTTGTTCAACCATTGCTGAGATATGAATATCTTACGAGGGTAGTCCCAGAAGTACCTGACCTAACAAAGAAAACGCAAAAAATTTGGGAAAAAATATCTTTATTTCTCTACATAGTTTCCTTTTAGCTCAATACACTTTTTCCAACGATGTTCAATAGCTTCGATACCCTGTTTATAGTGGGAATCGTCGAGCTCCTCAAAATAGCCATCAAGCCACCTTGGTCCTTTGTTTTGACTGTTCCTTCATCTCAGGTGTGAAATAATGGACCCATGTTTCATCCATGGTTATGAATCGACGCAAAAACTCGGCTTTATTGCTGCGAAACTTCGCCAAACACTCGATTGAAACATCCTCACGACGCTGTTTTTGTTTCAATTGCGGCACCCATTTTGTGCACAGCTTTCTCATGTTCAAATTTTCAGTCAATATACGATGTACAGAACTTTTTGAAATGCCTACCATGTCTGCTAACTCGCGCAATTTCAGTCGACGGTCATCCAATACCATTTTGTGGATTTTTTTCACCATTTCTGGCGTGGTCACCTCATTTGTTCGACCACTGCGATGTTCGTCTTGGCAGCCCGTACGACCTCGTTTAAACTCTGCCATCCAATATTTCACTGTTGTAAACGAAGGAGCAGACTCCCCCAGAGTAGAATCTAGCTCCGCTTTGATATTGGTTGGACTGAGGCCTTTCAAATGAAAGTATTGTATCACGTAACGATGACCAATTTTTTCCATGTTTACAAATTCACTGAGAGCGTTCACTATTGATGGCTGCCAAACAAATACACGACGACAAATAAACAACGTAGCGTCGTCAAACTTCAAACTTAAGCTTTATAAGGTTGGTATTTTCTACCATAGTCATTCTTTTCAAACAACAACTGCTATCTATACATCAGGTCAGGTACTTCTGGGACTACCCTCGTACATTGTTTTAACTTGCAGTTTCGCGTAAATATAGGCACGGTATGTCTCGCGCCGTTCGGGTGCACTTCATTGCGTCTGAACTTGGCGCGGGGCACTACTGTGCCTTTTGATTGAAAAGTCCTGCAGTATCCATGCTCTTCAGACATCGCCGATTCTGATTTGCATTTATTCTGACCAATGCAGCATAGTCTGTCTGATACACGGCCTCAAAATGTTGAGGAAGTGCGGAATCGATCGATAAATGGATTATTTCAAGAGATGAATTATTTTGTCAGCGCAGGATTGAATTATTGTCATGCAAAATGTTATTGATGGCAACGGCCAATATTTTGCTTAAAATATTATACATCATCTCATTGTCATTAATAAATAAAGACGAATGTAGTATCATACGAATTATTACGTACGAATTATTAAGTACCTAGTATATAGGGTGTTCATTTGAAAACTTTTCAGCTAATTATCTCGAAAATTATGAAAGATATTAAAAAAAATAAAACACGTGTTCCATGATTTCGAAGGGGAAAGAGAATGGCATTATCAGTTTTCTATTTGGAGAGCATTTTCAGTTGAGCAGAGCAAGGTCAGTTGAAGGTCAATTTAATATTATAAAAATCTTATCGACCTTTGGAAATTCCAAAATTATTAAATTAACAAAAGTTAGGACACTATTATAGTAATATATTCTTGATAGTAAATAAAGTAAAAAAGTCTAATACTATTTTTTCTCTTGACGAATAGTTAGCGAAATATCGTAAATTAAATGTTGAAAAAGTTACCAAGTTTTCCTTAAATATTTCAAAAAATATTAGGCAAATAAAAAAATATTTCAGACAAAAGTTGTTAAAATTAATTGGTAGAAAGAGAAGATATAATAAAAAATTAGGCTTTCTATTTTAAAAAACTAAGTTGATCTTCAACTGACCTTGAAAATGCCTTCCAAATAAAAAACTGATAATGCCATTCTCTTTCCCCTTCGAAATCATGGAACATGTGTTTTAGCTTTTTCTAATATGTTTCATAGTTTTTGAGATTTTTTACCTGTTACGTTTGAAATTTAGCACCTTGTATATACAGGGTGTTCGATTTAATCTGTCCAGACCAATATTTCGTGAATTAGCAAAGCTAGAAGAAAAATCAAAAAAGGTTCTTCAATGGCCTTACTTCGAGATGATTTTCCGCGCGGTGGAACCGTACCTTTCCGTATCGGACTTCGAGGGGGGGAGGGGCGTTCAAATTTTTTAAACAGAAACCCTTTACGAAAATAACACCAGTTGATAGGGCTCGAAAAGAATTTTGTGAGCCATGGGTATCAACCCATGGCTCACAAAATAAAACGACCACATAGCGCACTAATGGTAGAAGATTATTAAAATTGTTTAAAGTGTAATGATGCTCAGAAGAATCACGAAGAAGTATTAGGATTCGTCGTCTCGAGTCCTGTTGATTAATGTTATTTTCGTAGAGGGTTTCCATTTAAAAAATTTGAGCGCCCTTCTCCCCTCGAAGTCCGATACGGAAAGGTAGGGTTTCACTGTGTGGAAAATCATCTCGAAGTAAGGCCATTGAAGAACCTTTTTTGATTTTTCTTTTAGCTTTGCTAGTTCACGAAATATCACTTTGGACAGATTGTTCGAACAGCACCTTTCGTAAGTTATTTAAAAAAATCATAGCGGCCGTCATTTTCACAATAAGCATATAAAAGTATAGGTCGTTGGATTCGTCTTTTCGAGGCCTATCAACAGCTATTATTTTCGTACAGGGTTTCCATTTAAAAAATTTGAGTGCCCTTCCCTCCCTCGAAGTCCGGTACGGAAAGGTACGGTTCCACCGCGCGGAAAATCATCTCGAAATAAGGCCATTGAAAAACTTTTCTTGATTTTTCTTCTAGCTTTACTAGTTCACGAAATATCGACCTGGACAGATTAAATCGAACACCCTGTATATACAAGGTCTGCCAAAAATTCCGAAACAGCTAATTATTTAAAAAAATGATGATTGTTTAAAACAATGTTTGAAACAAAAGTTGTAGGGCTTAAGAAAAGCTATCAGATATTGATAATTGTTTGACCTTGGAATAACCTTGAGGAACGTTATTATGGTCGACATAAAAATCTTAAATGGAAACTCAAATTTTTTATTACACTGTCTTTTTCCACCAATTAATTTGAACCACTTTTGTTTGAAACATTTTTTTACTTGCCTGATATTTTTTGAGATATTTAAGAATAACTTAGTAACTTTTTTAATATTTAACTTACGATATCTTGCTAACTGTTTGCCGGAAAAAAATAGTATTAGACTATTCTATTCTACTTAGTCTCAAGAATATATTGTTACAATAGCGACTTGACTTTTGTTAATTCGATGATTTTGAAATTTAGAAAGTTCGATAAATTAACAAAAAATAGAGCATTATTGTACCAATATATTCTTGAGATTAAATAGAATAGAAAAGTCTAGTATCATGTTTTATCCTGACAAACAATTAGCAAGATATCGTAAGTTAAATATTGAAAAATTTACCAAGTTATCCTTAAATATCTCAAAAAATATTGGACAAATGAAAAAATGTTTCAAACAATGGTTGTTCAAATTAATTAGTGGAAAAAGATAGTGTAATAAAAAATTTGAGTTTCTATTTAAGATTTTTATATCGACCTTGATAACGTTTCTCTAGGTCATTCCAAGGTCAAATAATTATCAATATCTAATAGCTTTTTTTAAGCCCTACAACTTTTGTTTCAAACATTGTTTTAAACAATCATTATTTTTTGAAATAATTAGCCATTCCGGAACTTTTGGCAGACCCTGTATGTATATATGCACACACGCTCATATGCAGATAGGACTTGTTAAATTGAGCATGAATTGAAAGAAATCCTTCACCATTTTGCAATCAACCATAATAATTATTCAGATATTAATTAAAGAAAATCATTGGATGAATACCATAGATATGAATAATGTCATGGTAGGTTAGAATCTGGAGTACAGTCTACAAAAATATTTGTTGGACTTGTGTTTTCTAGTCTCGCAAAAGTAAATATAAACTTATAGTTCAAGATCACACAGGTGATGTTAGACCATGCTGTTTACTACTTGCAATATTACTTTCGCTATTAGTTGATATTTATTGTTGCTAGGAGATAGTAAACATGCTTAAAACATGTTTTTCTAGATCATTCTACAGAACTTGCTTATATTGAATTATATTATGCATACTAACGATAAAATTGTTTTTAGTTAACATTTCAACTTTATCATGATTATTTGTAAAATAGTAAAAGACTTTATTTATGTTAATTAATTAATCTTATCTATGTATGGATATATATATATATATATATATTGTAATAGATATATATGTTGTATCAGATATTCTATATAATGTTTGAATCTATCGTTTGTTGTAATTAAAGCATGTGACTTTTAGGAGACGTTTATCGTAGTCACTGGATATTAAAAATAAGACAAGAAGGCTGATATACCTGTAAAGAAATTAATATAGAAATGGGAGTAAGGTCAGGGAGTCAATCATTTGTATTTTTTGATTTGAAGACAACTGGTATATTTGAAGGAACAGTTGCACCTAAAATTACAGAAATGGCTTTAGATGCCGTTGTCAGGGAGGCAATACATCATAATTTCTTGCCAAGGATCTTACATAAATTAATATTTCCCATTAACCTACAAAAAATTATACCAACAAGAATACAATATATGACAAGTATATACTTATGTGTACATGAAATAATAGCGGTAGAGAATTGATTTATTATATGCTTATCTGTTCGCACAAAATTATATAATGATGATATGGAGCTACTGTAGCCTTTTTGAATTTGAAATTTATGAATTAATAATGGCCTTTCTGAATCGTCTTAGACCATCAATTTACTTTGTAGCACATAATGGTGATAAATTTGATTATCCAGTACTTTTATCAGAGTTAAAATGTATAAATAAAGTAATCGATACGCATTAACTATGTTTTTTCTATTTTTACATTAAGTAATGTTTAGTTTTCTTCTGTCAAAGATTCTTGATGACACAATTTTATGTATCGATACAATTAAGATGTTCAAGGACTACTGCAATAGAGAAGTAGTAAACAATACTAAGTAAAATATACATGAGAGAGAAATTGATAAATTGTTTGAGGATGGATGGATGAATCTTTATATGCAGTATTAGATTCTGTGATGATGGAGAAAAAGACAGTAGACCAAAATGTAGCCACATCTTTGTAAAGGCTTCCTTATGAAGAAAGATTTACTAAAGTTCTTAACAATAAACATGATGAAGAGCATAACATTGTTGATAGTAGTGTGCGAAACTGTAAAAGACAGGAAAATCAGAAAACACCGACAAATCAGATAAAAATATCGCAAGATAGCGTGGATCGTCCATTCAAAAAGAATAATTATAGAAGGAGATTAAATGTTGAATGCAAAAAGAGTCTTCTCAATTTCAAACTTGCTAGTATTTATGAGTATATTCATAATATATGAATATACAGGGTGGGGAATTATAAGTTTACAACCCGAAGTGTGAAGGTAGATTGAGTTAAGACAAACATAAAGGTCCTGCTTAGCTAACTGTTGCCGGTGCACGCCGAGGGGAAAGACAATGCGCCGCTATTCGTTGTTTTATCTCGCCGGACCTACGTCTCGCCACACGCCGCCAATAGTTGCTGGGTCGAGTGGGCCGCGCTGTGGCCTGAGTAGCTGCAACGCTTCTCCAATCATCTATGCCGGCGCGCGCCCATTCCTCAGATTTCTGTCATTAATAACTCGATAATTATTGCGAATCTCGCAAAACGGTATAGGATTTTTATGTTTGTCTTAACTCAATCTACCTTCACACTTCGGGTTGTAAACTTATAACTTCTCACCCTGTATATTATGAATATGTTCAACTCAAGTTTTGAAGACGTACATTCTGCTCAGGCTGTTCGTCTTGCGATGCTCCGTTGCGTAACTCAGACCGCTGATTACTTCCTTACATTACTTCCTTACATGGTCAGATAATAATGCAGTTCCATGAGCCCACTGAAAACACATAGCAAACTTTCCAATTATACATAATTGCATCACAAAAATGTCAAAAGATAAATAATGCAATATAATTGTTATTTTTGTATCTATTTAAGATACAAAATCAGTACACGAAATTGCAAGTGTTGTTAACTCATTATTGATATGAGTTGTGTATTTTAACAATATTTTTATGGTTTTTATATACCTTAGTAAACTTTAGTGTAATATACATAACAAATCTTTGAATTTTATTTTTTGTGGATAAAGATATTTTTATACAGTAAAAGTAAAATAAATAAATACTTACTAATTAAAATATAGCATATATCTATTTTTTAACATGATATTCTAAGCCAAAAGTCAAAGAATTTATAAATTAATATATACAGGGTGTTTGATAGCTGATCATGCAGACGAAAGTTGGAGATCGATTGGGTGTAGCCGAGAAGAAAAGTCATGTACCATAATGTCAAATTGGCAATAGTTATCGAGTTATTAATTAAAACATGTGAGCCAACGAGCGCGTAGAGCTACGTGCTTACTGTGGCCGCCCTCCGCTCTCTACGCGCTCGTTGGCTCACATGTTTTAATTAATAACTCGATAACTATTGCCAATTTGACATTATGGTACATGACTTTTCTTCTCGGCTACACCCAATCGATCTCCAACTTTCGTCTGCATGATCAGCTATCAAACACCCTATATATACAGAGTGCCTCATTTTAAAAAACGCATCTCCATAATTCTTCAACGAAGCATTTTGAGCAAAAATGTTTCGGACCAAAGATGTATAATTTCAAGGGAGATACAAAACAACTATACTATTTTGTTTACAAATGGCACCGCTTTCGAGATATTCAGATTATTACTTTTCTTAAATCCCAATTTTTTATTACACTGTTTTTTTTACCAATTAATTTAAACAATTTTTGTCTGAAACATTTTTTTATTTGTCTAATATTTTTTTAAATATTTAAGGAAAATTTGATAACTTTTTCAATATTTAATTTATGATATCTCGCTAATTATTTGTCGGAAGAAAAAGTGGTAGTAGACTTTTTGCTCTACTTAGTCTCAAGAATATATTGTTACAATAGTACACTGACTTTTGTTAATTTGATGATTTTGAAATTTCCAAAAGTCAGTAAGTTAACAAAAGTCAGGATGCTATTATAACAATATATTCTTGAGATTAAATAGAACAGAAAAGTCTAGTACCACTTTTTCTTCTGACAAATAGTTAGCGAGATATCGTGAATTAAATATTGAAAAAGTTACTAAGTTTTCTTTAAATATCTCAAAAAATATTAGGCAAATAAAAAAATGTTTCAGACAAAAGTTGTTTAAATTAATTGGTAGAAAACGACAGTGTAATAAAAAGTTAGGGTTTCTATTTAAGAAAAGTAATGATCAATGAAAATCTCGAAAATGATGCAATTTGTAAATAAAATAGTACAGTTGTTTTATGTTCCCCTTGAAATCATATAACTTTTGTTCGAAATCTTTTCGTTGAAAATGTTTCGTTAAAGAATTATCAAGAAGCGTTTTTAAAATGGGATACCTTGTATATTTTTTTATGGATGTAATGTATGTATATTTGAATATCTATTTCTGTGTGCAATGTCCATAATAGAAGTTTTAGAATTTATAAACATTTTAAGTGATATGCAATAAATATATAAGCATATATTTTGAAACAACTATTTGACCAATATTTTAATGCTTGAAAAATGAAATTAATATTTCATTACAATGAGATGCTAAAGCTTTAATGATTAAAAATTCCAGAACTTATATAATTAAAAATTGAAGAAGTAGAGATTGATTACTTTTTTCCTCCAAAATAATATATACCTCCACCACTTACCAGTTTCTTGCTGTGATTCTGGTTCTTGTTCTAGATTTGATTTTGCTTCATATGTTGGGTGTATTAATTCTTTCAATTCAGCCGAATTTACTGTAATAAAAATTCAAGTAAAATTTGAAATGTTAATATCTAGGCCAGTTATTTTTTTTACGAGTAGTACCATCTAAATGTGTTTGTGAACAGAAAGGTTGTCCGTTTTTTGATATTATTGATGATTTGATAGAATTTTTGATATAAGTTTCTGAACACATCTGTCTTGACCAGAAGAAGAATATTCTCATTAGAAAACAAATTCTCCTATTGGGTAAGACAAATATGTTTCAAATTCTTACAAAAAATTATAGAGAACCTTTCTGTCCATCACCGTACATTGTTTTATTTTCTCTGCACAAAATATCATAGATACTTACAAACATATCCAGCTATTATATTTAAATTGTCCGGTTGCTCTATTATCTGCTTCCTGATGTTTCTTATAATATTATATAATCTACCTTTCATATTCATCATTTCATCTTTTTCGATATTTTCCAGTAAATTTATATTTTTGTCCCAATAATGTTTTATACAACTGATCTCGAAAGCTTCATGAAGGTTTTCTAACATCTGCAAATATTATTGTTTCATTATTCAGTAAAAGAGGGCCCTTCTTCAATGTTAAAAACATTACCGTAAACAACAAAGAAGTATTCGATTCTCTGGTTTCAAATCTTTCTAAATGGTGGAAACATAATGTTTCAATGTAATAGCTGGCAATACTTTTCCAATTCTGAGTTTCTCTGAATTTCTACGAACGTAACTACTATTAGTACGAAATAAAATAAGCTTCAAATTAATCGATATGATTTCGTAATATATTGTTATACCTTTAACTGGCGTATTATGGGTTTAGCTCGTCCATATTTAGAGAGCATATCTTTTTCAAATATATAAAAACTTAATCGCCAGTAATGACTTGGTCTTGAATTTGCATAGAAAATATTTTTATTGCTTAACGGTTTGGGAACTAGGAAGATATCTTTATCGCTATCCTACGAAATGATGATGGCAATTAGTATGCGCAAATAAAATTTCTTCTATATGTAATACAACTATGTACTATGTTCAATACTATGGTACGCACTTGTAACGTCTGATATATAGAACATTGTCGTGGAAAATCACGACTTTTAAATGCTAAGACAGGAACTAAGTCGACATTGATTGGATATGAAAGAACATCTTGGAAAGATAATGTAAATGCTGGGCCTGATTTGCTTACTTTTATCTAAAAAGTACGAGGAAAAATGTTTAGAGAAAGAGAGAGAGAGAGAGATAAATAGAAATTTATGTATTTTTGTTTCAATCTTATATATATATATATATATATATATATATATATATATATATATATGATATATATTTTGGAAACATCTTTTATGGTATATTATACTGACAATATAATCATCAATTTTAATGTCATTATTTCCATTGGTGGTAAAAGCCACTTTATTCAAGATACTTTCAATCCATCTACGAAATTTTTCTTGGTCCAGGTATTGATCTTGATCTTGATCAATGAAACCCATCATATCACTAAACAAAAAGTAAACAATTTTTTTCTTATTTTCTAGACTTAGAAAATAATTTTGTATTGTAATACAAGTTATACCTGTATGCTTTTGCATCCATATTTAAATTATTGTTTTCGTAAATTTTTGTGTGTATTTTAATATAACCTGGTAAATTTAAATCTGTGCTAAGCTGCAATAATATGTAACTACTAATTATTGATTAAAAACACAGCATTTCTATCAGAAAATTCCCATTAGAAGTGCATTGCTATTACCTTCATATCATCTTTTTTTATGGGTAATTGGATTATTAAATTTAAATCAAACTCATCAGGAAGCCCAACCTTCGTCTTTTTATAAAAACTACCAGTCCATGCAATTTTTTGAAATGTTTTGTTAAACAATGAGTTTTGCTCTTTCATCTTTTCTATTAACTTGTTAATTATCTGCAATATACAATATATAATTATTATACGAATGCATATGAGCTTCTTAATGACATGAGAATTTTTACAATAAGTACCTTGTTTAAGTGTTCGTTTGTTTGTTTTACATTCTCCTTTTCCAAAGTTACAAATTTATTGTTTATCTTATTGAATGTCTCATCGTTAACAAGATATTTTCTAACAGTATTTTTCTCTCTATCGTTTGAGTCCATACTGTTAAACTTTCAAATATTTCGAATCTTTATACGTTATTTATATATTATTGCTGCATTTAAAGTATAAAGTGTATCAACACTTCCACTTGCCTACCTGATAGAATTCCGTACCGTCACGAAATGAAAAGCACTTGAATTAACTGCAAGCTTCAAAGAATATATGTATTTCCTACGTATTATAAAAAATATATTATAGAGCGTGAATACAAAATAAGTAAAAAATGCACGAGTTGCATTGCACCATGTCTTACATAATTAAGTATCAAGCCACGTATTAATAGTACCTTGTCGGTAACTTAAGGAATTTACTTCAAACAGTTTTTACCAGATGGTGCGCTCTGTACAATTATTTATTAAGAACTACATCTACTTGTGTTTATAGTTCGGTATTATTTAAGATCGTCTTAAGATATGTTTGGTTAATAAAACGGCCATATGTTTTTTAATATCCCGTGATACTTGAATATATATATATATACTTGAATATTTAATAATTATTAATTTTATATACAAGTTAACATTTTTGACAACAAATCGACAAACTAGCTATTACTCAACTGTGATATAACTTTTAATTTAAATTAATTACTTTAAGATCCATTAACTTTTTAACTTACTTTTTTCATATATAAATTAAAATATACAATTCATTGATATTATAATTATATATACATAATTCAATGTTAAACTTATTGCAGACTACTTATAATGTAGAATAAGAAATATAAAAAATAATACTAGCTGAATTTTTTGTCTCTGTAAGCATACGTTTCCTTGTATGGAATTCTGAAGTCGGTATTTTCTTGTAAAAGATTACTTCTTCATTATTTTGACTTTAAACTAAGATTAAAATTAATTGTGCAAAAAGATATATGTATATATTATTTTATATAATTAATTTTTACCTTTAATAAGGTATTAAATCTTATTTAATTTTAATTGAATTGTATTTTCTTTATGTAACTTTTAATAATTTTGTAGGCTACAAACTTACTTAGTTACACTTAAAATTTATTTGACTTCAAGCTTGCTTATTTTGAAAAATAATTCATTTACTCTGCTCTGATATATACCTACATATGTATGTGTATATGCTATTTTTAGCTAGTCATGAATTATTATAACTTGAAATTAAGTTATCGTTGACAATGTATGAAAATATGCATTTTGTCGTGAATATATATTTGTTTATAGAAATGGCACGATATCACTATACTCACAAAACAGATGAGCCTAAAGATTGACTACAAATACGTATTATTAATGAACGAATATATGCTTCGCGTCCAAACCGGAAGTGGGAACGTTACACTTTTATCTATTAATATCGACTAAGAAGTTGCAATGCAAATAGATACATGAAACTGGTTTGCACCAGACTGCATTCTACAGCGCGCTTGGCTTCTTTTATAAATGTTGTTAATCAATGTTGTTAATCTTATTATCGACAACGGACATTGAAATTTAGATAACATTAATAAATGATATAACGTTAATACACATAGATACCCATATATGACACACACACACACACACGCACACGACATGCACACGCATACGCACATATACATATATAAAATACTGTGCGCGCACACATACATATCAACATACACTTACACACGGTCAAGAGGAGGGTTTTATAGAAATTAAATCATTAATTTATGTTTTTTTCTATTTATTCATCAATCATTTTTCTTTTTATTTTCCTGTTTGTTGCCAATATTTTTACATGTGTTTATTTCTGTTCTTTAAATTATCACTATCGTTTCTTTTTGCGATAAAACATTTTTATCGTTAGGAAAATGTTTCTAAGTTTATCACTTCAATGAAGCCATTTCTGCGAAATTTTAGTTAGAAGTGTTTAGAATTTTTTCTAGAACAGTTATCAGTTTTCTACAGACTGTTTCGCTAACATTAGTTTGTCCTTCTAAAGCCTCTATTAGCCCGTACATTTTCTCTGCTTCCTTAGCCAATTGTATCAACTCCGACGCGATATTTTGCGAGTTCTCCTCCTCCAGTCTCGGGATTTTCTCCTCTTTTTCTGACTCCTAACAAAATTATCCATTGATCACGTCAGTATTTCTATAAATAAGAGCAATATCCTGTGCTTTATTGCACTTGTCGTACTTATTTCGTGTTTGTAGCACATGTGCTCGCAGTGGCCTTGGGTTACTTCAGATATATGCCTGAGATAGTCACACGCGTTCGGAAAAGCACATAACTTCCAGCACATAGTGCGATGTACAAGATAAATATGCCTGCATGATATTGTTGATGGTGGGTATCTTGGCCAGACCTTTCGCTAGTTTGACAAGTCGCTTCGAGTACATATGTCCTATACGTTCAAAGGATTCCAGAGTTTCTTGGTGTATCCAGGGATTTTCATTTTCCAACAAGCGATTGAACAGTTTGGTTAAAGCGGACACACCTGAATCTTCGCAATGATCGAGATTCTGGACACTCCATAGCAAATACTGGCAGAGTTTTAACTTCCTTCGAGATGGCATGCAAGTGCACGCAATTGCGATGGACATCAGGATCTCAAATCGCATAACCAACGCAGTAGACACAAGCATCTAATTAACAAAAACTAATGTTTCCGACATCATTTGTCTGATTTCAAGAAATTGACGAATCAAGCATGTCGTCTCGAAGATTATCGAGACAAGTGCCGTCGAGCAGGGTAACCACAAAATCGGACAATAGGTCGAGCTGTTTGTCTTTGCACTCGGTAATCGCGTCTGCACAAAACTCCACATTTTAGCCATGACGTCATTGATATCTCTATTATCGCCATAATCAATCGCCTGCATCGCAGATAGACGTTGCATCTATTATATTAGGTGTACAAATAAGTTTTAAAGCGTTTTTAGAAGCGTTAAAGATAATGCAAAACTTATTTGAGAGAAAAGAACAATACATTTATTAATCAAAATATGTGCCGTCATTATCCATCATCTTCTGTCATCGGTTAAGAAGCTGACGGATTCCAGCAGTAAAGAAGTTTTCGTCGTGCAACACGATGAAGTCGTCAACCCATTTTTGCAGTTTGTCAAATGTCCGGAAATGAACTGAAGACAAAGCATTTTGCATGGATCGGAACAAGTGATAGTCTGAAGAGGCTATGTCGGGACTATACGCCAGGTGCTCCAAAGCTTGCCAGCGTCAATAAAGCGTCATTTCCTTGATCGATTTCGCAACATGCGGTCTGGCGTTTTCATGGAGCAATTTAACGGGGCGTAATCCTTTGCCAGTAAATGGACGTTTTCGACTGATTTCCTCGTTCAATCGCAGCAATTATTGCTTATAGCGATCAGTAGTAACAATTTCTCCCGGTTGCAAGAAATTATAATACAGCACACCCTTGATATCTTACTAGATGTATAACAAAACTTTCTTCGAGTGAATATTGTGCTTCGGTGTTGATGTCGTTGCTTAATCGGGATCTACCCAGTGTTTTTTGCGTTTGGGATTGTCGAACCATATCCACTTCTCATCGCCCGTCATAATTTTCCACAGAAAAGACTTCCTACGTTATTTGCTTAACAGATTTAAACACTTCATGACACGCACATCTTTGTTTCTCTGACTCAGTTTACATGGCACCCATTTTCCTTTTTTATGAATCTTTCCCATTGCGTGTAGACGATTAAAAATAGTTTGTTGAGTTACTCCCACTTCATCAGCAAGTTCTTTTTGTGTTTGCGCGGAGTCTTCATCCAGTAATGCTTGCAATTATTCATGTTCAACCTTCTGCGGGGCGCCGCTACGTTTTTGATCGCTAATCTCAAAATCATCAGCTTTAAACCGCCTGAACCAAAATTCATACGTGCTTTTCGATACAGTATTCTCCTCAACAAAATTATTACGAAGAACAGAACATATCGATGCACATGCTTTTGCAGCACTTTTCCCTTGGTGAAATTCGTAACGAATGTGACGAACAAATACTTTATCGCTTGCCATCTTTCACCTACCAACGTTTAAGAACATTTGAATACTGAGCTAATTTCCGCGTCGTTTTTATTACTCTGGACCGGTTACAGTCACGTGACAAAACCGCGGGAGAATCTCTGATTTGTAAACCAGCAGTATACGTCATACAAAAAATGCTTTAACACTTATTTGTACACCTAATATGTATGAAAATCTGCTCCAAAATTCTTCATAACGGTTCAATGATGTTGAGATCTCGCGATTATGTTGGCCAGAGAAGATGTTTGATGATATTTCGATGCTCCTCGAACCAAGGCTCAACTTTTTTGGCTGTGTATATGGATGCGTTATCATCTTGGAAAATGGCAATATTTGACAGCAATATACTGGTCATAGCAAGAACTTCATCGTTGAGGCTGTCGAGATATTCATTCATAGTAATACGGTCGTTGATAATAATAATCGGGTCAATGGAATACCACGATATAGCCGCTCAAATTATCACGGAGCCGCCCCCGTGCTTGACTGTGAATAGCAGGCAATCCGGATCGTAGGTTTCTTTATGGAAGTTCTCCATACATAAACCCGGCCGTTTATAGGGAATAAAGTAAACGATGATTCATCGGATCATACCACATTCTTCCAATCATTAATCAAGTTTTATGATCGTGGCACCACTTTCTCAGCTTTGCGTTGGCTTCCGTTATAAGAGGTTTCGAAATTGTAGCCTCACCATGAATATTATTTTTATGGAGTTCTCGTCGTATTGTTCTTGTCAAGACAGGATTGTTCAGAAGACTGTTGAGTTCTGCTGACACTTTTGCTGCAGTAGTTTTATGTTGTTTGATTCTCTTTAATATTCGGCAGTCCTTGTTTGTTAACGTTAGTTTGCTTCCACTCTTTCTCTTCACAGATGTCGTTTTCTTATATTTTATGTAGGCTGTTATCACCGTGGATATTGTTGCTCGTGAAACGTGAAATAGTTCAGCCGTTTTCGTCACAGATGCTCCTACTAACCGAGCACTCACGATATATCCTCTTTCGAAGTCTGACAGGTCGCTTATTTCATCGTCTGATTGTTAAGACCGTCGCAAAACAAAGTATGTAGTACATTGAAATATAAACTAGAAAGGTTAGCACATAAATTGCGCAATATATGCGCGTCACACTATTCACACCTTGGCAGAGTTGCCAATACAAACAAATGGATAATATTTAATATGGCATTTACGTACATTATTGTGTTTACCAATTATTGTAATAATTCCTCTTCATTTCGCTGTATTCAGCAATCTGGATTCCGATTGTTTACGCTCCCTTGTGACCCATGTGACCCATGCTGATTATCTTGTGCGAATGAGTGTTAAAAGTGGTCGTTAACCATCCGCGTCGCGACATTTTTTCGCAAGATCGTCGAGCGGCAGCAATCTTCGCTTCGCAACGGTGACGCTTCAGCGATGTTCAAGTACCTCGTCTTTGTGTTTGTGCTCTCGCATGGATTTCCAGGATTCGCGTTCGTCTATCTAAAGGAAGAAATCGCGAGATCCTTGAAAAATGCGTCAGATGACAATAGTTCTGCGATCATAGGTATACATCCCCGCTCTAGAATTTTTAATTTGCAAAGTGCGAGAGACGTATTTTCCGACGTTCTATATTTCTCATTGTCACTTTTCACTTTAACGCCTCGTCGACATTAATCCAAATCTCGTCGCGCGTGTTCAATCGTTCTAAACTGTAAACCGCCATTTGAGATGCTTTGTGTTTAGACGCATTTTTCCCCGTCGAAATTGAGGTTATAAGTTATCTCGGCAGCTCGGAAATTCCCCATGATTCACTCGCTTCTTTTGGAGAAGAAATATTATTTTTAGAGAGCGAAATCGTTTTTTTTATATCTTTCCTTTTACATTTCTCCGGAAAAATGCGTGATTGTCGATTCTTGCAGAGGAAATAAACAAGAGACCAACGATTACATTGAACGGAAACATCAATTATCATGTGGGCCAGATCTTTCATGTGTACGGCGAGCAGCAGGTTAGGAAATTATTTTTGGATCCTAAATGTAACTCCTCCGAAAACATCGAGAACGACTATTTCGTTACATCTGGCATAAGAACACATAAACTTCATCATCGCAATATCATTTGGAACGAAGCTCGCAAAGCTTGCATCGAGGAAAGAGGTAAAGAATATCACTTGCGAAATATATCGCCGATAACAAGTCCCTGTCATCATCGTCCTCGTTGTCATCGTCGTCGTCGTTATTGTTATTATTATTATCGATCATTAAAGTCCCACAATCGGAAATGTATTACGAGCATTAGAATAATTCACTCGACATCACGCGTCGTCTTGACCAATTCGGCACTTATCTCGAGCGCTTAATGTAAAGGTAAGACGAAACGGCGATAAAAATCTCTTATTATATTTTGCACGCAATCAGGTCACTTGGCGATTATCAATTCGGCTTCTGAGGAAAATATTCTCTTGCGTCTGATGCAAAAGCAGAATATAGCCAAGGCCTGGATAGGACTTCATGATCTTTACGAGGAGGGTAATTGGGTCACCGTCACCGGCGAGGCTCTCGAAAACACCGGATACTCCAAGTGGACGACCAAATTTCCGAACCAACCTGATAATAAAGGCGGCGCGCAGAACTGCGGGGCCCTCGTCACGGAGGGCGGCTTAGACGATGACAGATGCACATTAAAGTATCCCTTCTTTTGCGAGATCCCCGCGTAGTAAGTATGAAGTAACAGGGCGTCGAAGATTGATTTGCCATTCGACCGGCGCGGTCGTTGCGCGGTATTTATGCGCATTTATAGCAGCGTGTATAAATAAATAGTGAATAATCCTGCAGCGTCTTCTCTGGTGGATCGAACGGGGGATTAGATTTTCAAAGATTCGCCTTTATGAACGTCGATACGTTTACACAGCGATGTTGGAAACTCCCTTCTTTCCTCTCTCTCTCTCTCTCTCTCTCTCTCTCTCTCTCTCTCTCTCTCTCTCTCTCTCTCTCTCTCTCTCTCACTTTCTCTCTCTCTCTCTCTCTCTCTCTATCTCTCTCTCTCTGTTTTGCTTTAAGGGGGGAACCTGGTTTATAGGGTCAAGATTTTCGAATTTTTTTTTGCTTAATCGATAGTTAAACTATTCAAGAATATATTCCCAAAGTTTCAGAGCCCAATTCAAAGTATTTCAAAAAAGTTATAGAATACATGGTGAGTCAGCGTCGCGCAAGTATACGAGCGCTCGGCCGGAGTGGGCCGCGCGCTCACCCGATACAGATACGTACTATATGCCGGCACGATATTTGATTACACATTCCTATAGATTGTCATGTAGGTGTATGAGTGTATGCGTGTCTATGTGTGCGTACGTGTGTATAGTTTATAGTTTCAACGATCAGTCTTGCTCTGATTCTCGACTAGTAAAGAGTTTCTATTTAGCAAAAGTCGTTTGACAGTTTTAAATATGTATCCAAAAGGCTCAAGAAGTACTTCACAGCGCATTTCGAAACCGCCGAAAAGAAGATTTCGTGGCAACCAGCATTCCAAGAATGAAAGTGATAATTTAGACGAGAGCATCAGTGCGAAAAAATTAAGTACAGCGAGTACTGATAATATTATTGTGAATCCATTACATTATTATAGAATCATAGAAAAAAGAAACTTATAAGTCCATTTTGACTTTGAATCCGTATAGCGAAGATTGCCCCGTAAAAAAAAGTGAGTGCGTCGGACACGTTCAGAAGCGGATGAGGACGCGGCTTCGAAATATAAAAAAAAGGAGAAGCTTGGCGGCAAGGGGAGATTGACCGATCTCGTCATAAAAAAATTAACCACTTACTGCGGTTTAGCTATAAGACGAAATGTAGATTCTGTGGGTGATATGAAAAAAAGTATAATGGCAACACTCTACCACTATTGCTCGACCGATGAAAAGCCGAAACATGGAAATTGCCCCGCAGGCGCCGACAGTTGGTGCGAGTGGCGCAAAGCTGAAGCCGCCGGTCAACTCGTAAACTATAAACATCCTGCTCCAGTTATAAAGCCTGATATTGAGAAACACCTTACTTCGATCTATGAAGATCTTTCCAATGAAGAACTTTTGACTAGATGTTTAGGCGGGCACACACAAAATTCCAACGAATCCTTCAATTCGACTATGTGGCATATCGCTCCCAAACACCTCAATTCGGGCTCTAAAATTGTTCAAATCACTGCATATTTGGTTACTGGCATCTTTAATGAAGGTTACACTGCCATTTTATTAACAATGCAGTTATTAAAAATCAATATCGGCCAGCAATGCAAAATGTTCGCTGATAATTACGATGCGCAGCGAGTTACGAGTGGGCAGTGGCGCCGAAGCAGCACGACCAAGGAAGCTCGCACAGCTCATAGACTGGAGCAAATGCAACGAAACGAGTTTTATGAAGAAGCTGAAGGCTTGCAGTATGGCCCTGGTATAGCTGATTAGCATAAGATTGCGGTAAGTCTTCAATAAATGATATTTTTTTGTACCACAAACTTTAAACGCGTTTTTCTCGAAATATTATTTTCGTACTTTCTTAAAATCTGCGGGAAAAATAGAGAAAAAACTAATTGATCAATCGACTTGATTCAAAGTGTGTTAGCTAGAGAATGAACAACCATTCTATGTGAACCTCAAACATTGGTAAAAACATTAATTTAAATAATTGTTGTTGCATAAAAACGGAGGAAATTTTTTCTCAAAAATGTCATTTTTTTGTTCATGTGCTAAAAAGTTTTGTATTTTACGGTTTTTTAACCATGTTGTTGGTTCACATAGAATAAAAATATATGAAAATTAATAATTTTTTTGGTTTTTTTGTTTCAGATCAAAATTGCAGGCTACATTTTTCCCGCAGATTGGCAACTCGGTTGACGAGGCGCTCTGGTTAGAGATACACCATGGCGCCATTTTGCAATTATTTTACAATATAAAATTTTTTTTACATCTTCAAATAGGCAGTTAAATATTATAAAAGTTTTAGGAACCTCAACTGCATCATTGTCAATAAAAAAAATTCATAAAAATCTCCTTTTTTTAGCCTCTTAAACCAGGTTCCCCCCTTAACTCTCCCCTCCCGCCTCCCGGGAACATCTGGGGAACTTAAACCGCTTTGAGAGAATCTGCTTGTGTAGAACGCATGGGGATCGTATGAGAAACCCGAGCGAAGTCCGAATATTGCGGATATCGGTCCCGGGATGATTCAATGAGATTCAATGAAATCGACTCTGCCAATACGAATAATGCCGCCTCGCCGGCGAGGCGAGATCGCTCTCGATCGCGAGATTCGCCCATCCGCCGCTAGTCCTCGAAAGGAGGAATATTCGAAGGCGTCCGCGCGCAATTGCCGCGCCCGGTAATTAAGAATCGCGGAGGGCTCGCACAGTGTTGATTGGTTTCAGCCGCACGAAATTAGACTCCTCTTATGTCGTGTGTAGGATCACGCCCATCCTGGAAATCTACTTAGCCATTCGACAGTGCCAGGTGGTCGAAACGGAAATGCAGCGTTTCGCGGAACGTACGTACTACTGTGATCAAAAAGTATCCGAACTTTATTTTTAAAAATCAAAATTACAATTCAATCATCGAAATTCTTATAGTCTCCTTCAAAGTAGTTCCCATTGCTTTGCCTTCGGTGGTCGGGACTAATTGAACCTTGCCTTCAGTGGTCGGGTTTGAAACACCTTGCCTTCAGTGGTCGGGTTCCGAGACGCTTTACTTTCAGTAGACTTCACGATCAGTGAAGTAACGTAAAACGCATAATTTTGAGAACAAGGTCAAGGTTGAAAACGTCATATCTGAACGTAAAATTTTTCAATCTTGACACTTTTAGGTCAAAAGTATGGATTTTCAACCCTAAAAAAGTCCGGTTTGACCTTAATAATAATCTTAACTCATGATCTTGAGAATAAGGGCAAGGTCACGGCTGAATGTCCCTCGTTGACCTCTACATTCTTATTCTTATGCGTAACTTATGCGTATTCTTATTGCTCCCTAGCAGGTGCATTTTCGAAGATATTCGCGTTTTCAGCCTAAAACAAGTTTAGACCTTTATGTGACCTTCAGAGGTCAAATTTGGCAGTGTTCAAGGTCATATCCAAACGTAAAATTTTCCGCTTTTTTCATTTCTGGGGTCAAAAGTATGGAGTCCTATTTAAAAAAAATTGACCTGACTTTGAAATGACCTTCAAGGTCATTGTCAAGATCAAATCCAAGGTCAAATAGCCAGGAAAAAGTCATAAAAACCCAGTACTTCGCATTTTTTCTAGGACTCATATTTTTCGAGTTATTCTGCTCTTCCGGGACTTTTATAATACCCTGTATGTTAGAAAAGTCGTCGAGCTCGCTCTCTCCTTTTGGACCGTTTTGCGACTCATCTCCGAATTAAGCTATTCAATTTCAGCGACACATGAGCGCGCGCTAATTCGGTAAGCACCGACTTTATTCTTCGATTTGCGCCCCGAAACCTCGTCAAGATCGGACCTCGCCAGCGCGAGCCTGGTCCGGACCTCGAAAAAGCAAAAGTGGAGTCGCCGTGCGTACTCCGCGACAATCCGAATTCAAGCGCTCGCTCGGTCGGTCGGAAAAGATCGCGCCGAACACAATCTGTAATCGGAAAGTGTATCAAGTTGAGTCAGCACAACTACCGACATTCATCTGACAATGAGCGGTCGATGAGAATAAAGAGATAATATATATATATATATATATATATATATATAATATATATATAATATATAATATATATATATATTATATTATTATATATATAATATATTATTATATAATATAATATTTACATATTATATATTACAATATGATTATTATAAACCGTTTTATTTATTACAAATTACTCACTTCAGTCATTAGTATAGTATGTAAAATAGAAATTACACAAAATGTATTTTTATAAGGAAGACGCATTGCTTTCGCAGTTATTAGGTTTGTTGAATATTTTTTAATTTCAGACTATTCTCCTCCGACATAGATTCTTAAATGCCGCGAGTCATATGGATATGAAAGTATATTAGAGAAATTTTTTAAAGCTCTTCCTAATATAACCGTTTCTCCATTATTCTTGCCAATGTATTCAATCATGAGAACATATTTGTCATTTATATAACAATAAGAATCGGCTTGTTTTATGCAAGACAGTGTAAAGTTTTTAAATTTTGCTTCTCCATAAGACTGTACATCCAAACCATCCAGTAATTTTTCGTTCTTGGCATTTTGAAGAATGGGATATTCTTGAGGTGCATGTGAAATATTTATTACAGTTTTACATTTTTCCATTAATCGTCTGTGCAACTGTTGTAACGGTTGTGCGCTTTTCCTGAGCATTTGCTTTATTTCTTGAAAATAATTTTCGAATGGAAAAGCATTGAACATATCCAGACATCCATGATTCTTAACATCTTGATGCAAATGAATCAAGTTATGTACGTTGTATGTAACGTACTTCTCAGAATACAATATTTTAAATGTTTGTACAAAATGTACTAGTAATTTATGTGCATATTCGTTATTGTATACACAATCGGCAAGATTGCAAAGAATATAAATTGCACAATGTAGAACATAAAAATGTCTCAAATAATCATTTGGCAAATATGACCACAAAATAGCCAAACTCGTATATAAAAGAAACAGTCTAAATTCCGTCGCTTTCTAGCGATCTAATTAATCTAAACCTCTCGGTTTTCTGGAAAATTCTCGGGGTATATATGGTATCCACAACTTAAAATCTTTAAATAATCGATCAATTTGAGAAGCTCGCAATTTAATGCCCTTTATTCCTCGGATCCACAATTTTATAAGTCT